AGTTCAACCGGCTGATCTGGTCCGGATTTCAAAATAGTGGTTAAAAGACTATAGTCCACATCTATGCCAAGAAGATGACACACGTATCTTTTTGTGGTCTTCTGAAAAAACAAACAGTTTGCAAATGCTAATGTTTGTTTGTGTTCTGCATGGCGCACACGAAAGAAGTTTACAAGATCTGACAAAAAACAAACACTACCTTATTAAAGATAATCAAATTCTTGACGAACATTTAATTTTAGATGAAATCATATATTGGTGGCGAAGAACATAAAGTGAATTGTGTTCAAAGTGGACTTCTAGAAAGCTTAAGAATAACTTGATTGAGGTTATTTAGATAATATGTTTGATATATTTTCACCAAATGAGTTTTGGTAGAAAATTGAGATATTGGAGTCCTACGAGTTTGGGTTCGGCCACTACTTCCTATTATTAAATGGGTCACTCATTTGGATTCTTTGTAAATTTTTTTATCTATCTTTGAGATGCTAGGTTTCCATACCTACATGAAAAAATGCAATTGTTAATGGTGTTCTTCTTGGCCGAAAATTAGGTATGCAAATTTGCTATTTATCATTTCGTTTTTGCAGATGATGTGATGTTTCTTGGTAAATGGTCATAAGAGAGTGCAAAGAAGTTTGTGAGCTATGTTGCTTATACCTAGCTTTGGATTTAAAAGTAAATTGCAAAAATATATTTTGTTAGGGATAGTTGTGTGCTAATATGGAAAATCTAGTTAGATGTGTTTCCCATAATAGTCCCTTCAAGTATATTGGTTAAATTGTTGGCTCTAATATCTATATGGTGGATAATTGGAAAATAGTTATCATTAAGTTTAATAAAAAACTTCAAATTGGAAAGTTAAAGCTCTTTACGTGAGACGGCGGGAAGTAGACATATTGACTTTGCTGAAGTCGTGTTCGATAACCTTGACGTATAGTTTATGTCGCTTTTTAAAGCGCCAACTAATGTTATTGAATTGGTTAGAGTCCCTCCGTATCAGTTATTTTGGATGGCGATTCAGGGGAGAAAAATGTTGGTTATGTTAAATGGAAAATGTTTTGGAACATAAAGATCAATGTGAGTTATGGATTGGAAAAATGATGCAACGATCCTAATATGTATTTTGACTTTACCCTTTCAGCCTCTAAAGTTTTTTTCATGTCTTTTTAAGGGAACAAACTGTTTTTTTGGATCGACTTAATAACTTTAGACAAAATGAAGGGGTAACTCAGTTACCCCTTTGTCACATATACATTGACCCATTTTCCCTTACCATTGACTTTGAAAAGTAAAAAATTTTATCCTCCTCCTTTTCTCTCTCAATCCGATTTAGGAATTATAAATATATGGAAGAATCAAAATTTTGATCTCAAGCACCGAGTAAAGGAAGGGTTAGTAGTGGTTTCCCTTTTGGGTCGAATGTTACATGTGCTGATTGAGATAGCATCAGAAGACCTAATTGTAGAAGATGCTTCAAATTTTGATTTTTCGCTACTCTAGAATCCTTCTGCTGATCTAGGTTTTACTTCCTTCATCAATTCAAATCATAGTTGTCCATGAAGAATAAATGACACAACTTTTAAGAATAACAAAAGTAGATAAATATTGTTGACTCATTTCATTGCAATGGAGGGACTGTTTCATTGCATGATGGCTCCTGATCCCCCAAATCCACAACAACTACATTCACCTTGTAGGTTTGTTATGAACTTGAATTTAAATTTAAAGTCAACTAGAACATGTTTATGGGGTTTTTTTGCAATGATATATTGACCGAGTACTAAAAAAAGTGACTAAATTAGGGTGTTCATTATTCGACTTGATTTCTAAAGCTCTAGGGATTGATTCAAGATACCTGAAAGACATTTGTTGTACATATGGACTTGCCTCCATCTATCATTACTATCTACCATCTCCAAAACTGGAACTAACAATTAGGGCTCAAAATCATGTCGACAACGACTTCCTAACTGTGCCAATGTGAGTTTTAAGGGTCATTATTAACTCTACTATTCTTTGAGACGAAGATAAATGGACTTGAAAGTTGGAGTCATCAGGAAATTATTTTGAATCTTCTACAATACTATGTATTGATAGTGGGTCTTTGGTGGTTACATATGTTTCTACTAAATGGAACATTCTTGTACATATTAAAGTTAATATTATGTTTGGTTAGTTTATTTTGCAAAGATCACATAAGGCTATAAGGTGTCACACAATTTTTACTGATGGACACATAAGCTAATAGTGACATTTTTTACAATGGCAAAAATATATAAAGTGTGGTTTATGCACCTATTTATCGTGTTTATTTCCATCATTTCATAGCATTCTACATCATAATTCTTGGATTTAGTTAATCAATTGGTCAATTGCATATTTTATTAAGAATGTTTGGTACTTCACTATTTTTTGATTTATTTTGTAGGCATTATGGAGCTTGGAGAATGGAGCATGTATCATGGAACTTAGAGCTTGGAGTATGGACCTTTGGAGCATGAAGAGAAGATGGACCGGTCATTTCATGGAAATAAAACATGAAGACATAATCCGATTCCTTGTTGCATTATCATCATAGCAAATGACTACATTTGAAACACGATTCATGTCACACTAACAGGGGTCATGTTTGTCCTTTCTCATCTTATATTTGAGCAACATGAGTCATGATGAAGCTACACTTACTAAGGAGCCAACAGTGAAGACTTATTGGACTATTAGCAAAAATCATGGGCCATGCTAAAAACGTATGGTCAAGACACATGGCCACGCCAAAAACACATGGGCAAAAGGCATGGTCATGCTAAAAACGCACGGTTTCATGGAATGCATGTGAACAGTTAATTGTGGTGCTAAATTGGAGGAGATCGACACTTATTAGAGAAAGACAGGTTTTTGGAGCTTCCTTTGGCGATTTTGGGAGATTTTTGGGAATTCTTGAAGGCTACTAATCATTGCAAACACTTTTGATTTCCTTCTGTAAGCATTAAACATTTCCATTTCTATCTTTCTTTTTGATTGATTTGTTCTTAGCCATGTGTGCCTAAGAAACCCTAGTTTTTAGTTCTTGTTCAAAACATGTTGATTGCTTGACTTGAAGCATATCATTTGATGTTTTATTGTGATTCTATTCTAGTGATTATGTTTTTGTTTAAACTAGTAGCCTTAAATTTGATTTGTGTTTGATTGACCACTTTCATTAATTGAATTTTTGTGTAGTTAATTAACTTTTAAGGCACCTAATCGTTCTATTAAATTAATAATTGGTAACAAACAATAAGTTTTCTTATTTTAAAACGTATATTACATGTTTTCACACTTTCGAGTGTACGAGAAGAAATAAACATTGTTGGGAAGCTTGTACAAAACTTAATGCAACTTTTCAATAAAACCTAAGAGTGTGTTTACGTTGAATTAGTAAAGCCAGGTCTAGTCAAAGAGTGTGTTTTAGTTAGATAATTTGGAAAGCGAGAGGTATTAGAGCATGTTAATATCTTTGAGTACCAATTTAGAATATCAACTATGAATTACATCAAGTCGTAATCAAGTTGAACAAAAACATTCAGAACTATAACTAGAACCATTCAATCAAATTGTTTACAAGTTTATTTCATTTTCTACATCTTTTTAAAGTAGACTGTTATTATTATTTTACTTTGTAAAAAACCTCTTTTGTGATCAAAGTACCTTGCGCAAAGAGGTACAGAATTTTATCCTTGTCTCTGTGGTTCGACCCTGCTTGCCTTGTACTACTTTTTAGTGCATTAAAGCAACGTATTTGGAGTCTGTTGTACACCTATTATTTGTTGGGTTTGACACGCCTAACAAATTGCTGCCATTGTTGGGGATACGACATTACTAATGGTGTAAGCCAAGATCTTTTCATACAGGTACACCATTTCCAATTGACTCGGAGATAGAGAAGACTGCAAAGAGGTTACAGAAGCAAACCAAGCTCCGTATGAGGCAACAGGATTCTGGGAGTTCTTTATCATCTACCCCTTCGGTCATCAACATTTGGGAGGACATACCCCTCTCATGTGTGTTATAAATCAAAATAGAAACCCTATCACTCTCACCTTAACCATCCTCATCCAAAAGTACCACTCTACACTCTTTACCTACTCATAACATCCCAAACTCCGCACCCACAGAAACTTCAATTCCTACTCATACCATGGGACACAACCGTGGATGGAATCAAGGTCCTCCAAATCCACCACCCAAGAAAACCTTTCACCAATGGGCTAGCAAAGAGGTTACTCAACAACCTCTTTGCATCACATATACGGCAGCCACAAACCTTGAACTAAAATCCAGTCTAATCCACCTCCTTTAAACCTTTAGAGGCCTAGAAAATGAGGATCCCCAAAAATTCCTCATAGAGTTTCATGTTGTGTGCTGGATTGAAACGACATAATGCAATGGACGATCAAATCAAGCTTAAGGCATTCCCGTTTGCAGTGCAAGACTCAACAAAAGGTTGCCTCTATGACCTTCCACCGGGGATGGTTAATACATGGATGGAATTTGCATGCCTCTTCTTAGACAAATACTTCCCAGAAATGAAAGCCTCATCCATAAGAAGAGAGATAATTGGGATCAACAACACAAGAGAGAAGCCTTTCATAGATATTGGGAGAGGTTCAAAAAGCTTTGTTCCCGTTGCCTGAAGCATGGTATTAGTTAGTATCAAATCCTCCAATACTTCATTGAAGGCATGACTCCTTGGGAAAAAAGACTTCTTAATTCTTCAAGTGGAGTATCTTTGACCGATAAGACCCCAACTGAGATTTAGGATCTCATAAAAAACATGGCAGAGGATTCAAAGCATACAAGTCAAGATGAATATTGGTACACAGATGCACCCTGAGGTGTAAAAGAGGTGCACAATACTCAAATTGAATCTCAACTATCTGATTTGACTAAGGCGGTAATGATGCTTGCTAAGGAAAAAGGTGTGCAATCCACACGTTGTCTTTGTGGTATTTGCACTAATGTGGCACACTCGACCAATATGTATCCTTAACTACAAGAAGAAGAATATGAAGAAGCAAATGCTATGGGAGGATACTCCGGGAATAATCAATGATCTTATGATCAACCCCAAGACAATCAAGGGTGGAACCATAATCAAGGAATGGGTTATCAAACAAGACAACCACCTCCATACGAATAAAGACCATCATTTCAACCTTAGAATTTCCAGCCAAGACAGCCACAACATCCACCTCAATAAGCGAGTTTGTCTAGTATGTCCTTAGAGGACATAGTGAAGAGTTTGGATACTAGCACCCAAACCATTCAAAATGAGAAAAAAGCAAGCATTAAGAACCTAGAGCAACAAATTTCACAACTTTTCATTTCAGTTAGTAAGTTGGAATCTCAAGGACAGTTACCTACCCAAACTGAGACAAACCCAAGGCACAACGTATGTGCTATCACATTAAAAGGTGGAAAGAGTTATGATGCCCCATTAATATAGATTGATCAAGAAAAAGAAGAAGAGGATATAATGGTGAAGAAGTCGAGTAATGAGGAGGAAAATAACGAAAAATCCAACACAAAGAAGCCTGCCACCAACAAAGTCAAATATTCTCCAGTTGCTCTATTTCTCGAAAGATTAGTGAGCACAAAGAAAGAACGAGAGGAGAGTGAGATCATGCAAATGTTGTAAAAAGTTCATGTTAATATCCCAATCCTTGATGCCATCAAACAGGTACCTAGATATGCTAACTTCTTATAAGGACTTTTCATATCTAAAAAGAAACTAAAAGGTAATGAAACAATAAAAGTTGGTAAGAACATTTCAACAATTTTGCAAAAAAGGATGCCCCAAAAGTGCAAGGATCTCGACGTCTTTAATGTGCCTTGAAAATTGGGGAATATTCATGTACCTCGATCTATGCTCGACTTGGGTGCATTTATATATGCCCTGCCATACTCTGTTTACAAATCAATTGGTGTAGGAACATTGAGCAAAACCGGTGTAATCATTCAACTTGTTGATCGGTCGATAGTACACCCAAACGGTTTACTAGATGACGTGTTAGTTCAAGTCAATGAACTTGTTTTCCCAGATAATTTTTATGTTCTAGATATGGGTTTATGAATCTCCAAATTTAAGTTCCATATTTTTGGGTAGACCTTTTCTTAAAACAGCAAAAACCAAAATCGATGTCTACAATGGAACTCAATCAATGAAATTTGATAAAGAGGTCATTGGCTTCAATATTTTTGAAGAGAATAGGTACCCAAGTAAGGTTCTGAATTTTTTGGATATCGTTTAGCCTGTGACTGAAGAATGCTTTGAGTTGACTAACCATGATTTTTTATTGTTAGTTTTAAATAGGAAATTTGATTAAAAAAACAGTCAAGGAGATTACAGAAAATTTCAAGCTAGATGATGAGTTGCTGGAAATCGTGGAGTTTATGAATGAAAAGTAGAACATAGGGTTCAATGGAATAGGTATTCTCATAAAGGTAAAGTTTCAAGAGTTGGAGGAATTCCAAAATAAAACCTTCAAGAACTCATACATCTACAAGAACAAGAGCAAAACATTTCACGACAAGTGCCTTTCCCGTAAGAGCTTTGATATATGTCAAAAGTTATTACTCTATGACTCTCATATTAAATGGTTTTTCTGTAACTTACGGTCCCGATGAGTGGGACTATTCATTGTTACTAATGTATTTGATCATGGTGCAGTTGAGATTAAAAGTAACAATACGAGAAAAGTGTTCATAGTTAATGGTCATATGTTAAAGGTATTTTATGAAGGTTTCCAAGAGAAATACATGGCGATTGGTAGCTTGGAATGCCCAGACTACATCAAGTAAAATCTGAAGGGGAAAGTCAAGCCAAAGACTTGAAACAAGGGCGGCTAACTGAAAGGCAACTCGGGGAGTATTTTCTTTCCATTCTTCTTTTATTTACATTATTTTGTTGTGTTGCAATGTTTTTGAGTCTTTTTGAGAGTTCCATAAAAAAATTCATATCTAAAATTTTGAGAGAGAATCATGTTAAAAAAACGTTTTTTTAGGATTACAGAAGAGAAACGCACATGCAAGACACGAAACGCATGGGCCAATGCATAAAATGCATGGCCTAATTTTATGACCACGCATCAACACCGAGGATTTCAAAAGAAAAAAAAAAATTGCATGGTCAGAGTCCCAAATGCATGGGTCTAACTTGAAAACGCATGGTCTGATCTTGAAAACGCATGGTCTGATCTTTAAAACACATGGGTTAGGACTAAAAACGCACATTCTGTCCCTAGACCATGTGTAGGAGACGCATTCTCATTAGTTTAAAAAAAACCTACGGCCTAATAAAAAAACTCATGGCGCATGCTCAAAAAAATCAAGGGATACTAAAAAAATGCACATGCCAACATGTGACCATGTGTTTTTAACCCTTGACCATGCATTTTGCTCTTTAAGTCGTGAATCCATTTTTTTTTTGAGAAAAACTCATGAGTTGGAAAAGGTTGTGCAAATGGAAGCATGTGCATGCCTTTTGTCGTCTGTTTTGTTTTAAAAAAGAAAAAAAGAAAACGAGTTTTTTGTGTCATTCTTCCCCTCATGTTTCGTGCGTCCCTTCTTGCCTTTAAACCTCATTCGACGTGCCTCCATAATCCTCTCTAAACACCATCCTCAATTCCTCCTAAATCCACATAAAATCTTCGATTTTTGTTCAATTTTTTTCGAGATTTAGGCTCCAAGGTATGTTGTTTTAAGTTCCTAACTCTATCTTCTTCATCATCTTGGTTGAATTCTCCCTGTGAAGGTGTAAAAATCAGATCTTGCGTTAAACCTTGGTTTTTGCTTTGTAAAATTTTACTTGATTCTTGTATTATGTTTCAAAATTCTTTTGTAGGGTTTCAAGAGCAATCTTGGGGAGGTATTTTATAAAGAAGAAGGGAAGATTTTACCTCTGTTAGTATATTCCATCATTGAAGAGCTCAACTTTTCTTGAGATTAAAGATGAGGTGAAAATGTCAAGCACACATCACAAATTAAAGCATTTGAATGGTACATTCCTTTTATATCTCAAGTTTGATGCATGAATCCTAAGATTGTTTGACTAGAATTATTGAGAATTCATTCATATGTTTTATATAGTTATACATTCGCGGTTAGTAGGTTGCCCTACCCTTTCCGGGCATAGAGGACGATGCTTAATCTTAAGCTTGGGGAGAGGTCTTTGTACATTAGGTTCTAGTTTCCACATGTATTTCATAAAAATATTTTAAAAAATCCAAAAATATTTTACTTTTCTTATTTTCATTTTCGTGCATTCATTTTTACTTTTTTTATTTTCATTTTTCGTGCCCTCATTTCAAAGCATTTAAAAAAATTCACACACACACACACACACACACACACACACATATATATATATATATATATATATATATATATTTCAAAATTTTTTCTTTTTTCTCAATTTCTTTGCATTTCACATTGTTAATCACAAAAAAAAATTACAAAAAGATTTTGTTTTCAACTATTTCTTAGTTTGTATTTTTTTAAAAAAATCCGAAAAGATTTCATGTTTTAGCATTTTTATCTTTTTGCATATTAAAAAAATCAATCTAAAGGAACCTAATCTTCTTGAATCAGTTGAACTGGTAAATGAGTTGTGGCTTGAGATTAAAACTTGTTCGTTTTTCATTAAAAAAATCTTGAAACAATTTAATCACACACGGACACGTCTACCGAAGCTACTCATACAAAACAGAAAATGATGAGGTTGTCAACACCGAAGCATAACAACAGGTATATGTTAGCCCTTGGAACACACGACTGGTCTTATGAGTAGTAAGTGCTCAATCATACCCAAACTCCAAATTCAAAAAAATCATAAAATAAATATAAAATTTCAATGACTCTAATCTTCCAGCGCTCTAAAAAGTCATTTCTACTTATTCCCTTCTAAATATTCTGCTTGGGGACATTGTTTCCAACTATACTTATGGGTTTTTGCATGTTTACATCAATCCCCCCAAAAATGTCTTAGAAGTCTCACACGATAATAGACCGTGAGATGTCCCAACAATAGAAAGAGTCAATGACAAAAATATAAAGAATTAGGCCGAGCAAATAACTTAAACATGTAGATATGATACTCTCCGCTCACAACTGTACTCCTCTTTTTATGTCGTGTCAAAAAAAGAGTAAAAAAAAAAGAGAGTAAAAAAAAGTCAGTAAGTGGACAATTCCATAAGTTTTGAGTCAAGAGTTAATAAGTGGACAATTCCATAGCTCTTGAGTTGCATAAATGGACACAACTAGGAAATAAGATTGGTTGTCAAAAGATTCCCTTAGACTTGAAATTGAACTTATAACATTGGGGCTGACTGTGAACTACTTTGATTGGTGTAAGTGGTTTGAAACATGTAACCAATCTGGGTAAAGGAATTTTTAGAAAATGATTGTTCTTATTCAACAAATAACCGGAGTCGGTCATTGTCATGTTTTGTAAAATGAAGATGATTAAGCATGTTTTTCATTACATGTTTTCACGAGAGTAAAACCATAATTTGTTCAATGTGCTAACTCAATACCGGTAAAGTGAACAAGTGTTGTAGCTTTTGATGTTGTTGAGTTATGATAGGGAGTGGCTAAAAATATTGTTTTAAATTTTATATATCTTTGTGGGGTTAATGCCAAGTTATCTCAATGCACGACAAGTACACCCTCGACTGTATGACAAAATGAGGTTAATTAGATTGAATCTGTTCGTTTTGTTTTGTTTATTGCATTAACTTTGAAAAAAAATCTTTGAAGCTTTGTTAATCTTTTTATACATATGTTATTTTCACTTGTTTTTATTTTATTGCATGCATTCAATCTTGATTCCTTTTAGGTCCTTTTCAGTCCTTCCGCTCTTTTCATCTTAGTTTCTTTTTAGTCACCTATCATCTTCTCTAGGATGATTCTTCATTTTGTTCTTTCTTGAGGACAAGAAAGGTCTAAGCTCGGGAAGGTTTGATAGGTGCATTTTATGCACCTATTTTGCATGTTTATTTCTGTCATTTCGTAGCATTCTACTTCATAATTCTTGTATTTAGTTAATCAATTGGGAAATTGCATATATTATTAAGAATGTTGGTACTTCACTATTTTTGATTTATTTTGTAGGCATTATGGAGCTTGGAGCGCATGGAGCATGGAACTTGGGGCTTGAAGCATAGAGCTTTGAGGCATTAAGAGAATATGGACCGGTCATGCCATGGAAGAAAACATGATGACATAATCCAAGTCCTTGTTGTATTATCATCATAGAAAAGGACTATGTTTGAAACACGATTCGTGTCATATCGATACGGGTCGTGTTTTTCCTTTCTCATATTATATTTGAGCAACCCGACTCGTGGTGAAGCTAGATTGAAGAAGGAGCCAACAATGAAGACTTATTGGACTTTTAGCAAAAAGCATGGGTCATGCTAAAAACACATGGTCAAGACACATGGCCATGGCAAACACACATGGACAAAACGCATGGTCTCATGGAATGCACGTGAACAGTTAATTGTGGTGCTAAATTGGAGGAGATCGACACTTATTAGAGAGAGACGATTTTTTGGAGCTTTCTTTCGCGATTTTTGGAGATTTTTGGGAATTCTTGAAGGCTACTAATCATTGCAAACACTTTTGATTTCCTTTTGTAAGCATTAAACATTTCCATTTCTATCTTTCTTTTTGATTTATTTGTTCTTAGCCATGTGTGGCTAAGAAACCCTAATTTTTAGTTTTCGTTCAAAACATGTTGATTGCTTGACTTGAATCATATCATTTGATGGTTGATTTGTGATTCTATTCTAGTGATTATGTTTTTGTTTAAACTAGTAGCCTTGAATTTGATTTGTGTTTGATTGTCCAATTTCATTAATTGAGTTTTTGTGTAGTTAATTAACTTTTAAGGCACCTAATCGTTCTATTAAATTAATAATTGTTAACAAACAATAATATTTCTTATTGTAAAACATATATTACATGTTTTCACACTTCCGAGCGTATGAGAAGAAATGAACATTGTTGGAAAGCTTGTACAAAACTTAATGCAATTTTTCAATACAATCTAAGAGTGTGTTTATGTTGAATTAGTAAAGTTAGGTCTAGTCAAAGAGCGTGTTTTGGTTAGATAATTTTGCAAGCAAGAGGTATTAGAGTGTGTTAATATCTATGAGTACCAACTTAAAATAACAATTATGAATTACATCAAGTTATAATCAAGTTAAACAACATTGAGAACTAGAACTAGAACCATTCAATCAAATTGTTTACAAGTTTATTTCATTTTCTGCATGTTTTTAAAGTAGACTGTTATTTTATTATTTTTACTTTTGCAAACAAAACCCATTTTATGATCAAAGTACATTGCCCAAATAGGTATAGACTTTTATCATGTGTCTCAATGGTTTGACCCTGCTTATCTTGTACTACTTTTTAGTGCATTAAAACAATGTACTTAGAGTTTATAGTACACCTATTATTTATTAGGTTTGGCACACCTAACAGTGTTGTTTTATCATTACCACAGGTAAAATGAAGAAGAAATATTGAGAGTTTGAATGGTAAAGGAGGAAAGAGAAATCTGTGGAATCTCAATGATGACAAAAAACCACCGGCAAAAAATATGTCATGGGCCGGTGTTCACCGGCGGTAAACCATGCCACGTTGGCTTACTGGTGGCTAAAAAAATACTATACCATTTACCCTAACAATGATAATCTGCAAAAAAAACAGGTATGGATACTTATTCTCTTGTTTTTCCCTTCATGTGATCTTCACGTGGAAAGTACATAACATTTATTCCTACATCGTCGATTGGCGACCAACATTTTGGAATAAAATTACATTGTGGTGGGGCTTGATGCTCCTAAGTTCATTGGATTGACCGATTTGTTCTTATTGTCAGATTCTCCCAACTTGGTGCCACTTCTAGAAAATGGTTGGATGTTGTTATTCTCATGAGTCACGACTTTATGGGTTATTTGAAGGTTTCAAAATACTACTTTGTTTCATCCGTCTAAATTGAAGAAAAATTGTTGGTTGGAAAAGTAGTTGTTACTCATTCATATTCTCATATTATGGATTACAATAGAAAAAAAAACAAAAAACAAAAAACATTGAATAATTTGTTCTCTTGGTTGGATTTTCCAACTCCTTTGGCTCTAAGCTTACTTTTAGAAAAATTGTTTCTGCCCCCATTCAAAACTTACATCTTATAAGTTTAAAACATCATAACATCTTTACATGAAAAAGAAACCCATATGAAATTAGCTTCTAGTTTTTGAGTGTTCAAATGGTCATTAAAAATTTATATTACCGATACAAAATTATCTTAGCAACCAAAAAGTGGTGCAAATAAAAAAGATAATTGTATTATGTTTGACCAAACGTACAAACAATTATACTCATTCCGTCATAAATTAATTGTCCAATTTTGATTTTTGAAGTGTTTTTTTTTTCAAATTTGACTTTAAATATTTTTATTTTTATTATATATTAGTTGATGAAACTTATAAAAATGAAAAAAAAACATTTAAATTACAATCCATTAATAAATTTTCTATCAAATATTATCAATAAAAAACAAAAATATTTAAAATCAAAGTTGAAAAATAAAAATTTCAAAAATCTAATATAAATAATTAATTTGGGACAGAAATAACATCCATTTTTGTTGGATTAACATAAAATTGATATGATATTTCATACTTTATTATTAACATTGTTACATTTTTTAGAACAAATCTGCATTAGTAGTGTTACTAACAAAAATTAAAATACTTTTTTATAAGATTTTTAATCTAATATATATATATATATATATATATATATATATATATATATATATATATATATATATATTCTAAAATAATAATCTTTTCGATGAACTATGTATTATCTTACAATTTGTCAAAGCTTATTAATTTATTAATACATAAATTTATACGGAGCCAACTTCTTACCTAAACTACAGAAAAGTAAATAGTATTA